TCTGGGAAAAGAGATTCTGCACTGGTTCTTTGTAGGCTCCAATGTGTCCTCAACAGGATGGGCAGCTCTAGCCAATGAGGGCACAGCAGGGGACTTGCCTCCTTTGGGAATGGCTGGAACTAGGAAGAAGCAGTCATTGAGCTCAGGAGGCTGCAACCGTGGATTGTCATTGTGCAAGGTTGCAATGGAAGGGCAAGGGAGGAAAGACTCTTTGCACCACATAACACTGGAACTTTAATAATCTTTAATGTTGAAAGCCATTAGATAAATAATTACTGACTCTTTACCTAAAAGAGGAGATGCAGCTGCTGCTACTTACATAGCTAATATCTGTCAGTATATGAAGATAGCAGGCTAGCAACAGAAAATCTCTTGACCAATTTGGGGAGCCAAAAGCATCAGTCTATTTTCAGCAGGCAAATGAGAAGGGGAACTTGATAACCCCTTTGGAATGCAGATTTAAACACCTATTTGCATTAAGTGCCTAATTTCAAGGGGATTAGCACAGTGGAGTTGAAATTCCACTGATCTGAAGCAGTTCCAGATTTTCTCTCCACTTCACTCTGGCCTGGTCTGCATAGAATATTTTCAGAAATTTTCCCGTTGATGCTAACAATAGTGGAAATGCTACTGTGTCATCAATACCTGCTCTCAGCAGTGTGACACCTGTGAACTGAGCCTTGTAAGTGTTCAGGGGCAGGTTGGCTGTAGTGCTAGTGCAGAGGGTCAGGCAGGCCTTCCAGTGGCAATCTGGAACCTTTTCCTTTTGCAGAATCTCAACCTGCCCCACTTCAACTGCTGGAGACCCTCTCCAGCTTCCTGGGCTAGCAGCCCAGTCTATGTAAATTCTTCCTGGCATCCTAACTAGCACCCAACAGCTGATCCTGACTTTGGCCCCAGATGGAATGGTGGATAGCTGTGGGGTCAGTCAGAGGAGAGGTAAATTGCATGGGACTAGGCACATTTGCAGTGGTGCTGGAAATAGAGATGCTGGGGCCGCAGCAGCACCCTCTAGCTTGAAGTGGTTTCCATCAGATACAGGGTTTACAGTTTGGTTCAATGGCTTTCAGCACCCCTGCACGCTTGTTGGGATCAGTCAGTTAGCAGCTGGAAAAGGAATGGTGGAAGCTGTAATCAAGTGAAGGAATGGAATACCCGGGATGAATGTGAGGGAGGTATATGCATCATTTATATGGGGAGAGGAAAGGATAAACAGTTAAGTAGAATTAGGATCTATGGATATAATATAACAAAGTTCACTTTCTCACTGGGTGCACTGAACAGCTACAGTAAACCCTTCCTCCATGCTTTGAGTTAACTTTGTATCTCCTAGTTTGTTAGTATCTGGCATGTATCAAAATTAGAGTTGGTCAGAGAATTCCTGTACTATGGAAAATTGCAAAAAAATTGAAATTTTTTCATTCTGAATCAGACAAAAATTTTGAAATTTCCCATGGAATAATTTCATTATAGAAAAATTGATATATTGTTTCAATAAGGTTGAAATAATTTCATTTTGATTTAACTGACTCAATTTATGTTATATAACAGTCAAACTGTTTCAACAATTATACTGTCATAGTATAGTAGAAACATTTCTATTATATAGAACAGAGAAGCTGAAATGACAATGACAACATGAAACATTTTTACTTTATTGGAATGAAATGTTTTGATAATTTTTTGTCAATATGTTCTAGCAGAATGTTTACATTTTGTTGAATTGGAAAAAAATCTGACTGGCTCTAACCAGACTAAATGCTTTCTTTTAGAAGTATTACAAGAGAGAGAGAGAATGTTAGAGATCTCTCATTTAAGAACATAATATTTTCAATTTACTTTTTGCAGTGTCTGAAATCACTTGCCAAACATAGTATGTTTAGAAATGACTTTTGTTTGATTTTGGTTTTCCTAACAAAATAAAAATTATAGACTTAGAGATACTGAGCTCCCCAAATGCTAGGAACTTTGAATGCCTAGCTAACAGCAATAGAGGAGATGGAATTAATATATTGAGTGAACTGACATGAAGCCACCTTCCAAATGTGGCATGCTTATTTACATTAATATACTTGCTGATAATTGTATCCCGTTCTGGGGAGCCACATTTTTTATTGTTCACTGCATCATTTAATGTAGTTGTGGCAATACAACTTCATACCATATTTTTCCTTTCTTTCCTGGACAGCATAAAACTTAGTCATTGTGAAGCCATGTGAATCTTCAAAATCTTCTCCAAACATCAATGAACTAATTTGCACTTACCCTTAATGTGTTTGGCAGTCACTAGACAATAGGGTGACCAGACAGCAAATGTGAAAAATCGGGGGTGGGGGGTAATAGGAGCCTATATAAGAAAAAGACCCCAAAATCAGGACTGTCCCTATAAAATCGGGACATCTGGTCACCCTACAGGAAGAGGAGATATGAATACTGATGATGCAATTATTGGAGAACAAAAATAATCTTGTAGGTTTGCAACCATCATTTAATGGGGTGAAGAAATTAGAAGTTTGGTTTTTATGTACAGTGTAGCAGCAATGAAAGATAAATCTCAAATCCAAGTTTTGAGATAAACCAGTCTTTGTTAACCTACCCAGAAGCACACAGCTATCTTTCCCTTTCTGACTCATTCCGCGTAGGCAGGGGAATAACAAGTTAGTAGGTAGTTAATTGAAAGTACAGTAAAGCTGCTTGTTGTCATGCACCTTAATCTAACAGCATACAATGTCTGGGCTTTCCTTGGCATGATGTGTAAGCTGGGCTCCAAAATTGCTGCAGGAGGTGCCAAGGAAGGTGCCATGATTACGCCAAGGTGGGAGATCTTCATAATAGATATGGAAAGATCCAGATGTGACCCTGCACATGATATTTTGCAGAGAGCCCCTATCAATCTTGGGCAGGCCATGCCTATCTCTGGTGCAAGAATCTGAATTGAGATGTTCCTGGCCTTTCCATGTTTACACTCCCAACTTTACCTTTGTATTAATGATTATTCATATTTATTTATATAGCACTATAAATGTATTCAGCCCCTTACAACGTGAAAAATATGCTAAGCAAACAATCAACTCTGCCCTGAAGAACTCAGTCTTACTCTGAAGGTACAAACTAGGGATGTAAAAGGTTAACTGGTAAGCATTAGGCTTACCAGTTAACCCACCTTAACCGTTAACCCACAGCCACGCTGTGCTGGCTGGCCCCTGCCACACTGGCCAGCCCCTGGCCGCGTCAGGCCCTGGCATACCGGCCGCGTCGCACCAGCCGACCCCAGCCCCAGTTCCCCTCTCGCTGGCCAGAGCAACCATAGCCCCACAGCCGGTCGATGACCCTAGCCCCCACCTCGCCGGCCAAAGCAACCCCAGTCCTTCTCCCTTTAATAGGTTAACAGTTTAAATTATATAATTGTAATTGTTTAAATGGTTAACTTTTTAAACAATATTTACATCCCTAGTACAAACTGGTGTAGTGCAACAAACAGTCCCAGAGTGAGCATTATCACTGGGATCCTGCACAGAGCAGGTGAGTTTTCAGAGGTATGTTGAGGGAGGGCAACTTGGTGTAAATTAAATAATGTGAGGTTATTCTGGGCATAAAGGAGACAAAGGGAGCAGGTGGGGACATGTGTGGGTGGAGTGAAGGGAGTGGTGTAAGAAGGAACTAGGTCAGAGATGTAGAAAGGAGAAGAGCTGTGCAGTGCTGAGATCATGAGGGAGGAGAAACTTCAACTGTATGGTGAAGAGGATGAAAATGTATGCACAAATGAAGTAAGCTGAGTTTTAACTAGTAAGCCCCCTTCCTCCCCAGCTATAACTGATCATTTTCATAATATAGGGTACTGAGGTGAGAACCAGTATATATATTTCCAAATAAAATAAATAGTGTTCAACAATATCCTTTTAGTTCCTTACCATAAGGCCAGGTTTCGAAGTAAAGAAACAAGCCTATAAATGGAATGATCTGTTATAAAAGAAGAGGAAAAATATTCACTTAGCCATAGTACCACTTGTCTCCCCAGTGGGGACAGCACTGTGAGCAGTAAGAGTACATTTTCATCCTCTCTCCCCTTGAAAGACAACAAAAAGGTCAAGCCAAGGCATGAAAAGAGACAGAGACAAGGCACTCTTATCTCTCTGCTGTGCACACATATCGTCAGCTCTACCAGACTGTTGATATCATTCAAATAGTCCAGAGAGTGGATCCCTGACTGCACCACTTGGTGTGCTGATAAAAACGCGTGTTTTTGGTTTTTGTCATCTTGGTTTCTTGTTTTCAAATATTAAGGCCAAGATTTTCACGCACTTGCATGTAGGCAATTGTGCATGAATGTGTGCCTAATTTGTACACATAAGTACAGTAAATTCATTTGCAAGTGAGCAGTAATTAGGTACCACAATGATTGGCACCAAATATGTTAGATTTCCAGGCATTAGATAGGAGCCATTAATTTTTCTGTCATTTACATTTTTAATTACTAGAAAGGGAAGCTGTCATATTTAACAGCTGTAATCAGTACCCTTAAAATCTGTAACGGTTAGGATAAACAGCAAATATTCGGTTGACACACATGTCTTTCTTCAAATGAAGGTACCCTCACATACAAACCAAGCAGCAGGTTGCACCTGCTGCAAAGGTGAGAGTAGCTAACAGTGGGGTTGTTTTCTTAAACCAAGGCACAGGTAGGGCACTGCCTTGCTGGTACAAAGAACTTTAGTTTTAAGGGGAACTCGTGTGCTAAACACAACCCAATAAGCCCTCAGAGCTACACAGTGAAACACACACCGCGTCCGCAGTGTCATTCCCGTTTGCCCCCTGGACAAGCTTCTGTGTAAACTCAGCGGAAAGCTGAGAAGCAGCGGTGCCCGCCCGGTAGGGTGACCAGATGTCCCGATTTTATAGGGACAGTCCCGATTTTTGGGTCTTTTTCTTATATAGGCTACTATTACCCCCCACCACCTGTCCTGATTTTTTACACTTGCTGTCTGGTCACCCTACCGCCCGGAGCCGCCTGGGCACGTAGGCAGTAACTCCAGGGGTAGTGCTTTATACTGGCAGAGCGGGAGGGGAGATCTGGCTTCGTCCGCCTTGGATCGCACGGCAGCCGAGCCGTCTCCCCCTGTGCCAGAACGGCCAGCTGGCGGGGGCCGCTCAGGAGAGGGCCCGTGGGCTGAGCGGCTGCACGGCCCAGGCAATGGGGCTGATGCAGGCGCCACCTTCCCCACGGCCAGGGGGCTCCTCGCGCCGCGCTCTGTGACGTCCCCGGGAAGTCACTGTGGCCACTGGAGGCGCCCGCGCTGCAGCCGGGACCCGGACGCGTTCTCAGGTGCTCCGCTGAGAGCTAGTTCTGGCTCTTGACGAGTTGCTGATGAGGTTTGTTTGCCATGGTTTTAACGCTCCTTTCTCCCGCTGGAAATCCCCCTGCCTGCCCCGCTCTCTCCGCAGAGCTGACTGTCCAGCCCGCTCTCCTTTCGCTACAGCAGCGGCTCTCAACCTTGCCAGGCTCCTGTACCCCCCTGCAGCCTACCCCCATGTTTCACCTCCCTTGCCAAATCAGACATACAAATGCAAAAGTGGCACAGTCCCGCTATTACTGAACAATTGCCGACTTTCTCGTTTTTATCATGTAATTATAAAATCAATCAATTGGACTATAAATATTGGACTGCACTTACATTTCAGTGTGTAGTATATAGAGCAATATAAACAAGTCATTGTATGGAATTTTAGTTTGCTAGTGCTTTTTATGTAGCCCGTTCTAAAACTAGGCAAATACTGTATCTAGATGAGTTGATACCCCCCCCCCCCAAGAATTCTGCATACCCCCAGGGGTATGTGTACCTCTGGTTGAGAACCACTACTTGGGAGACAGCTCGACCTCTGGCCTGAAGACTCCCTCTGTAGATACCCTGACTTCTCTTCTCCTCCTGCTCACAGACTCTTTCCCTATGAACAATGCTCTCCCTCTTCTGCTGTCTTAATGAGATGTCTTGAAACAGCAATTTGATTGCAAGAGAAGCTCCTAGAAACGTAATTTCCCTGAAATGTTAGAAATGTTGCCTCCCTTTGGCCTGTCCTTTTCCTTGATCCAGTCCTTTGCATTGCTGAGGCAGACATAGCTTGGGATTCGGTGTGGTAGGCTCTGATGTGCAGTTACCCAGGAAGGGGCAACACAGGGACTCTGATGCCTCCGCAAAACAGATGGTCTCTTGCACATTTCGATGAGGCTGGGTGTGATGTTCATGATGCAAACACTGCAGCCCCTTAGAGCCCAAGCAGTGCTAGCTAACTGGTTGTGGACAGGAGGTGGTAGTGAACGCATGGAATTGTTATGGTCAAATTTAGTTTTAGCGTAAACTGGGCAAAGCTTCCATCATTCTTACTGGAAATAATTCAGACTACATATAAGCCCATTCAAACTTCTTGTTATATTCCCAGCCTGGAGACCAGCACCTGTCTGGATGAGCTATAAACTGTAAATGCGCTATTCTGCAGCTGTACCTGAGCAATTGAAATGGCTCAGAAGGCACCGATTCAGTTTCTTGTGTGTGTTATGTCCTCTCATGAACACCGTCCTTTTTCCCAACGAAAAATATATTTAAAACACCATTAAGGATGCCACACAAGCTAGAAACATCCTATGAAGCTGCAACCACGCACGGGGTCATCTCTAGTAAGGAGAAGGTAGTTTCATTCCCTGGGCCGATTTAAGAAGTTTTCTGCTAAAATTGTGGTGGTGATGTTTAGAGTCTGGATATCTGTACGCCAGGAACTAGGTTGAGACCATCAGCTTATTATCCGTTGATCACATGGGATGTGTTCAGACTGTAAAATTAGAAGTGAATCGTTTCACAGGATTAGTCCTTTACTCGTGGCCCTCCTCAACCTTTTTCTTTCTGAGCCCCCTCCTACCCCCAACATGCTATAAAAACTCCATGGCCCACCTGTGCCACAACTGTTTTTCTGCATATAAAAGCCAGGGCCGGCATTGGGTAGCAAGCAGGGCAATTGCACAGGGCCCCACATGAACCTGAGTTCAGGCATGGCAAGTCTTAGACTTTCTGCCCTGGACTCCAGACAATCTAACACTGGTCCTGCTTGGCACACCCCCTAAAACCTGCTCACGGCTCCCCGGGGGCCCCGGACCCCTAGTTGAGAACCACTTCCCTAGACCATTGTGTTCATTTCTGGATATTTTAGTACCAGACAGGCATAGACAAATTCACAGAAGAGTAGGAAAAATGATTAAAGAGCAGCAGGAACTGACACATGATGATTGTTTAAACTAGGGCAGTCAAATTATTTAAAAAATTAAATGTGAGAATAAAAAATTTAGTCACAGTTTTAATCACACTGGTAAACAATAATAGAATACCAATTTAAATTTATTATAAATATTTTTGAATGTTTTTCTACATTTTCAAATATATTGATTTCAGTTACAACATAGAATACAAAGTGTATTGTGCTCACTTTATATTCTTATTTTTTAGGTGCTGTTGTAAATAAGAAGTGGGCAGCATTATCTCCTGTAAACGTAAATAAACTTGTTTGTATTTGCGATTGGCAGAATAAGAAGTAGGACTGAGTGGAATTGGAACTAAAGGTTTACATTGTTTTGTTTTTGAGAGCAGTTATGTAAAAAAAATGTCTACATTTGTAAGTTCCATTTTCACAATAAAGAGAATGCACTACAGTACTTGTATGAGATGAACTGAAAAATACTATATAGAAAATGTAGAAAAACATCCAAAAATATTTATAATAAATTTAAATTGATATTCTATTATTGTTTAACAGAGTGATTAAAATTGCTTAATTTTGATTAATTTTTTAATTGAGTTAATTTGTTTTGAGTTAATCACTTGAGTTAACTGCAATTAATTGACAACCCTAGTTTAAACAGATACACCTTGGCAAAATGGCAACTATAGGAAAACAAAATGACTATCTACAAGTATAGGAAGAGTGCAAATTTTAAGGTGGGGAGAGGAACTGCTTAGGGTGGGAAAAGAAAAACCAGAAACATTGGATGAAATGAAGACAAGGAATATTTTGAATTTTAGGATAAACTTTTTGACACTGAGATCCACTGAACTGGAATAATCTCCCAAAGAAAGTGGTAGATGCTCTGTCTTTTGAGAACATTTAAAACCATGTTGGACAAAGCACTAGAGATGTCCTTCACTGGCAGAGGAATGGAACACTTCTAACGTGTATATGGCTATTCCATCACCAAACCATCAAGCCATCTTCACATTTTTCTCATTTCATCCCACTCTTCTACCAGTCTTTAGCCCTGTAAGTGCTAAAACAAAAACTAAGTTGTTTTCATTTTTTTTTTCAGCACAAAGTAGATAGAATGAGTCAAATGAGGGGTAATGTGTCACCAAATGGCAGTGAAGAGAAGAAACAGTTATTCTTTCACAGTTGCAAAGTGAGTACTTTAGGGAAAAATGATTTGTAGCTTTATTATTTGCCTTTTTTTTAGTAGACACTTCTACAGTATCAAATTGCTGTGTGTTCAAAAACCCTCTAATGTATAATAGCATTTTCAGAATATGAAGATAGTTCATTCTTCGATGGAGTGCAATGTATGAGTGATTACACTCTTCTTATGATTCATCAGTGTACATTCACACTTAAATTAGTTCTGGAGCAGAAAAGATTTGGGCTCAGAACACCATGGCTGCCTTTAAAAGCTTAGTATTTATTAGCCTAATATAGTATTTGAGCTGCTACTGTTTTCCCCTATACTGAGAAAAGTAGTTAACTGGCTAAGTGTGTAGTATAAATTGTCAGAATGATTGTCATTTAAAAAGTAAACATCTATCAGTGCATTTGGCCTTTACTCATTACATTTTGTTTGCCTGTTATCACAGGTGCTGAAATGTTATTTTTCAATCTGTGCTACAGTAATTCAAATAATTATTTGTTCAGTAACATACCTGATGAATTGCAAAATGAGACATGCAAATAGATTATTTAATCACTCTAGATGAACATTTTCAAAAGCACATTTGGAAAGCTGGGGACTCAACTCCGTTTGAAAGTCAATGGGAATTAGGTGCCTAGCTCCCCACCATTGAAAAAATCTCCCCCTTTATGACCATCAATCATTGAAACCTGAGTGGAAAGCAGCTCTCCCTATAGTGCCAAATTAAGTTGTACTGAACCAATAAGTCATTTGAATAAACCAAGAAGTCATGTTTTCATTAGCACCCTCAGGGACATTCTGCCTGCAGTATTTACAGAGAGATGGATTCTCATTAAGGATGTTGTGTAATCAAGTTACATCTAAAAGGTCTCAAAGTTTCTCTCTGTTTTGTCCAATGTAAAATGGTATATAATGCAAAAATATTTGAAACCAGAAGAAAATCTGCACTGGAACTTACTTTATGTGAGTGTTGGGGAATAGTACATTCTTAGGATTTAATGCCTCTTCAAGGCAGTGTCCTACTAAGAGCCTAGTTCCCAGGTGATCTTCTTCATATATGTAATCCTATATATTGCTCCAGGCAAATTAGATTTGAAAATCAACTGGGGGCAGTTTCTTTAATGAGGTCATCAAGTGGAAAAATTAGAGATATTGCACTCAACAATTAGTGAGATCTGTTCTCCATTATGAACATTATAAAATGCAAGTATTACACTTTGTGCATTATGAAAAGCCGTATATGCATCTTTACAGAATAGCACAAAGACAACCCAATGGGAATATTATCAATGTCATGGGTACCACAAGTACGGCTTATTATACCATATATGATCATTTCACTGTTGTCTTCACCCGTTGCCTCCAGTTGCTTCTCATCATATGTTTAGATTGTAAGATATTTGGGGCAGGGGCTTTTTGTACTAAATATGTGGACAGTGCCTAGCGCAATATTATCCTCATCCCTGACTGGTACTTATATCATTAAAAAGGAAAGTGTTTATGTCATTGACACAATTTTTATTGCAGGATTGGGCGATCAGAGTCCAGTATAGAAATATTCTGTATTTTGTGGCAGGTATCAGAATTGTTGTCATCTCTTGCAAATGTTGAAAATGAACAACAGAAGCATCAATTGTTTTTGAAGGGAACACGTGTGTCTCTCTTCCATACACTGCGTTCAGTAATAAAATCCAATAACTGGAAGACTGCAGCATATAACAAGCAAAGCATGTTACCTCCTGAGCCCACTACTATGTTACACAATTGGTCAGAAGATGATGTAGCAAAGAAGGATGCTGATTCACAAAGGACAACACTGAGAATCCAAAACAGTGGTGTATCCATGCGTGTTAAGTGTCTGTCTAAATCGAAGACAACAAATTCTGCTGTAGAAGGAAACAAAAACACTGATTGTGGTGCTCCACTGCCAGTGCATATGCTTCCTTATGTGCTTTTAATCAAAAATTGTCTTCCTTTGTCAATTTCTTCAATCCATTCCAAATGTTGCAAAGCAGAGATATTATGCAGGATACTATACTTTACGCTGAGACTCTGGAAAAAGAAAACACCCAAGCCTTCACCTCAGGATCCTCCCAGTTCTGAAGGTTGGCAATCTGTACTTACGAATGATTGAGGATAATACAAGAGGCGTTAACTAGGAGCAATAGAATGAAATTAACAAAAGGGAAATCTAGGCTGAATATCAGGAGACAATTCCTGAGAGTGAGGCTTCAGTATTACACTCTGAAATCACTCTGAATTCCAGATGGTGGGAGCCTTGCCCTTTGGGACACTGAAAATTAGACTGGTCAGAGCACTAGAAAATATACCATTCAAAGGGAACAAACCTGCAGTGAGTGAGCTAGGCTTATTTATCTCTAATATTTAGTATTCTATGAAGACATGTAATTAAAATATTTAGAAATAAATATAATCCTTTGAGGCACAGGGAGACATTTTAACATGGGTCCAGTATCCATATGTTTGGGTCTCATTCAGCACAGAGATGATTAATTCTTTTAAACCTGATGTTTCTCCCATTGAATTCAGTGGAAGTGTTGGCATTGATTTCAGTGGGAGGAGGAAATGGCTTTTGGTCTCATTTAAATAAAATGGTGAAATCAGTAGTTCTGAATCTGTAAAAAGCAACAGAGGGTCCTGTGGCACCTAAGACTAACAGAAGTATTGGAGCATAATTGGAAATTTCCATTACTTGCATCTGAAGAAGTGAGGTTTTTACCCACGAAAGCTTATGCTCCCAATACTTCTGTTAGTCTTAAAGGTGCCACAGGACCCTCTGTTGCTTTTTCCTCACTCTTCTATCAACATGCCTTAACTATGGTGCAGAGGGACCACCAACAGGGGTTAGGAGGATACAATAGTAAAGTGTCCGTGTCTATTCATTCTTTGGCCTGTATACTGAGATTAGCAACCAGCGTGCCAACCAGAGTGATTATCTGATTACTCCATTTGAGCAGGAGTTTTTCCTGCTGCCATTGAAATGAATAGTTTTCCATTGATTTCAATAGGAGCAGGAGTAAGCTTTTTTTTTTTTTTTTTTTTTTTTACTAATTATGGCCCAAATTTATCAATTAGGTGCCTACAATTAGATACCTAAATGCATATGTATGCACCTAAATAAGTGGCTTAAATTTCAGAGGTCATGAGCACCCATAGCATTTGTTGAAGTCAATACACTGCAAAGTCAATACACAGATACTTCTTGCTCATTTTGATGAAAGATGCTATTACGTATAATGCTTATATTTTATGCAACTTCTGGCTGCTTTCAGAAACACAATATGTGAACTTCCTTAATCTGAAGGATCTGCAGTGGAAATTCTATAAAGGCATTGTGAAAAGAAAACAGAAAGTTAGAGTTTTATGGAGAGAAGCAAACTACAGACCTTTCAAGCCATTCCAGGAAAAAATCAGGAATGAAGAATACATGCTCCCTTTGATTCCTAAGAACTGGATAATTCATGATTCTCTTAAATGAGTTTGTGCAATGCATATCCTGTTTACATCAAACAAATGATGACTATAAATGAATGGAGAGTGACTGCAGTTCTTCAGAAAATTTAAATAAAAATGTCAAGACATTATACAATTAAGTTTATTATTATTACATTTTTACAGTAGCACCTAGGAGCCCATCATGGATAAGGACCCCATTGTGCTAGATGCTGTACAAACACAGAAGAAAAAAGATGGTTCCTGCCCCAAACCAAACATCATCAAACACGTAGTCTACTAAGGACCGTTACACCAGCGAGAGTGACCATGGTTGATGGCATTGCACCAGGCACAGTGTAGTGAAGTTCCCAGATCTGGCTCAATCCTGTGAATCCACAAATCTCTGGGGTGGCCCGTGAGCGACACTAGGTAAGGTCAGGGTGTGCACCTCTTCACACGTTAATGGAGAGTTTGAAAGCACAGTGTGCTGGAGTGGTTATATCCATTCTGGCAACATGGTCAGAAAGTACACGGGGCCACTTTTTGAATATAATGAGCAACTGAAGAAAGGCCAGATCTCTGCGATATGGTGACATTTCGCGCAGGATTTGGTACTGACAGCGCATATGGAAGGGCTCTAGCTGCTCCAAGTCTGCTTGTCAGAGGGTCTTGGTTTCTGACCCATATAGTTTCATAGATCCTGTAGTATCCACACAAAGACTTTTTTGCATCCATAAGCAGGTCATGGACTTCATACAAGAGACAGCAAGACCTATTAGTCAAAGACAGCCCCAAAGAGTTTATCATAAGACAAGTGACAACAGATGGATACAGACAGGGAAGCACAAGAAAACAATGCAACAATATTGATAAAAATGTCATTTATCTTTATATTAAAATAAGTTCCTAATGCCTAGCTTCTGGACGCCTTTCCTCAGTTGTTAATATAATGGGCCTGATACTGCTTGCATTTACAACAGGTTTACAGCTATGTAACTTCAGTGGAATTACTCCTGATTTGAGATCAGAATCAGACACAAAATAGACAAAAATATCCATCCTGCAAATAGTAATAGACAGTATTAGTGATCAATTCCTCTCCACTCCATAACAGCGACTGACAGGAACAACTGTGATGCTGAGATGTGAATGGAAAAGATGTTTACATGTGTTTCACTGATAATTGTGCATCAGTTGAATTGATGCTATGGAGTAATGCAGTCACGGCATAATCAGTGAGACCCGTTCCCCAAAGGATCCTTCTCATACATTAAGGCCCAAATCCTGAGCAGCAGCTCACAGCCCACGTACTAGGCTGTGGTTTGCTCTGCTCTCCTGGGGCCACAAAGCATCTGTGGAAATGCTTTATGACCACTACTGCAGCCCTGATTCTGTAGTAGCCTCCACAGCACAAATATTTGTATTAAAGCCTTTTCCACATGGAAAGAGAAAACACATACAAATGATTTTAAAGACTAAATATTATTGCTGGCCTATTTCTGATGGTACAAACAGAGACAGGTGTAAGAGCTCCTACACCTGTTCTGCACCCCTGGAGGATCCCCCTTGCACTGGAGTGATCTGCCCTGTACTGGTTACCCTGGCTTTACAGATGATGATGGTATCATGGTGGTAAGCCCCAGAGCAGATGGACTGAACTGAAGTCTGGTGACACCAAGGTGACAGCTTGAAAAGGAAGGAGTTTTGCATTGGTTGAAGCTGAGGGTTTGGTTTTAGCTGTGTGAGTTTATTCAGCTCAAGATATGAGCCAATCAGAGCACAGTGATTTATCTCCTCTATGGTGATGAGAAATGACTATACATTCAATACACAGATCAGACCTACAAAAGGGCTGGAATTTGTATAATTGAAAAATAAGTCCACAGTCACTGGTCAACAATTGCATGGCATCCTTTCATTCTGACTGGCGGAGATAATGCCATTTTGAACAAGTTATATCAGGCATACACTTATACTCTTTTACTTAGATCGCAGTGTATGAAACCTGAAGCATGAATATTTACACTCCTCCTACCAGTCCTTTGCCTAAAACTGCTAATACAGAACTCTCTGGCCACTGCCAGTGGTGCTTTGCCTTTCACCACTGCATCTTTCGTCTAACTGGCCTTGATAAAATTATTGCATCCCATGAGGAGAAGAGGAAGCTTAATTTCAAACTTAACATCCCTACGACATGTGCAGCAGTACTTTTTATTTGTCATTGTAGAAGAGGCTGTGTAGGCAGGGAAATGAGAAACATGAAATAAAAAGAGAGGGCAAAGGGGGACCAGTTGCAATAAAAGTACTGTTCTCCGCCCCCACTGCCACTATCACCACCACCCAGGAATAAACAAAGCAATCTCTACTGCATTTGGTTAGTCCTGAGGCACTGACAGGGACAGAGCCAGGGAAGATAATCTACCAGGACCAGCTGTTTCTAGTTCAGGGCATCAAGATAGTGAAAACAGATGCACAAGAGGCAAGTACACAAAAGTCACGATCAAGAAGCAGTTGTAGTGTTTGCCTCTTTCATGTACAGAAACAGATTTGCTCAGTTCTCATTGCAAAATATCAATGTTATTAGAGCTGTGAGTCAGTTAAAGGAAAAATCAGTGACCATCTGCGTGAGCAGCTAGCAAATTCTTGGACACCTACAATATCCAGGGTCTCCTTTCCTCTCAGGTTCTCAGCTACCAGCTAGCAAACTCTGAAAATAAAATAACAATCATCTGTATTGTAACGATGATATGACATAGGAGTGCTGGTCAGAGGGATTGGACTTCATTTCTTTGTCCTAATCACCTGACCTGGTTCAGGTTACCAAGATTAATATTAACACCCTTGCAGTGTTTCTTGTTGCTCCAGCTAAGGGAATAGAGGAGCAGGGAATCCACCAAGGGCTGCTGCACAAATTCCCTGATCCCTCCAAATGATTAATGCCTTCTACTTGCAAAGCAGCTGCAGGTCGTCTCCGCCATTACTCTGGGAGGTCTTCTTTGGAAGCTGATTTCCCTAAGGATTTGTTGTCCCAGAGCAAAACCAGAATATGTGGCCATATGGGGCTGTTGCATCCTTTACAACCATATAAATCAGAGTCAACATAATTATTATAACAAGCCATATTTTTTATAATTTAATTTATTTGTATTGGGCCACTTCCTCAAGGCCTAGGCCCCATTGTGGTAGGTGCTGTACAGACACATAACAAAAATACATTTCCTGTCCACAAGAGCTTATACAGTCAAAGTCTGAGATGGGAGGTAACAGGTGGATATGGTGAACAAATGGTACAGACACAAGGTAGTGGGTAGAGGTCACCAAGGAAGTTTTTTCTGGGCTTAAATCCAAAGTTTACACAAACACAGAAACTCACAGAGGTATGGAGTTATGTCAGGTACAACAGGCTTATCCTGGCCACAGAACAACTCCCGAAATCTGATGATAAACATTGCTGACAGCCTGAACACCAGAGTATTGTGTTAACAAACTGTGTGGGAGAGAGGGAGATTTAACTACTACACTGCCATCACCTATCTGTCAGAGGGGTCAAAAGGGACATTTGATAATGGAACAGAATGGTCTAGGGAGCTTATTAATCTTTGATATAACAAGGGGTTTATTTAAGTACATAGTTAACATTGTGTAATAGCATCTATACAGATCAGCTTGTCCATTTCACGTGTGCGTATGTGTTTATCTGAATACATAAATATATAAATCATAGAAATGTGGGGCTGGAAGGGACCTCAAGAGATCATCAAGTAAGGTATGGCAGGACCAAGTAAGCCTAAACCATCTCTGACAGGTGTTTGTCCAACCTGTTCGCAGAAACCTCCAGTGATGAGGATTCTATAACCTTCCTAGAAATCCTATTCCAGAACTTAGCTACCCTTTTAGTCAACAAGTTATTCCTAATATCTAACCTAAATCTCCCTTGCTGCAGATTAAGCCCACTACTACTTGTCCTACCTTCAGTGCACATTGGGAACAATTGACCACAGCCTTCTTTACAACAACCCTTAAGATATCTGAAGACTTGTTATCAGGTGTCCCCCCTCACCCCCCAGGCTTCTTCTCTCAGGACTACACATACCCAGTTTTTTTAATCTTTTCTCATAAATCAGCTTTTGTAAACCTTTTATCATTTTTGTTGCTCTCCTCTGGACTCTCTCCAATTTGTCAACATCTTGCCTAAAGTGTGGTGTCCAGAACTGGACACAGTACTCCAGCAGAGGCCTCACCAGTTCCAAGTAGACTGAAACAATTACTTCCCATGTCTTACATATGACACTCCTGTAATAACACCCCACAGTATTAGCCTTTTTCACAACTGCACCACTATGTTGACTCATATTCAATTTGTGACCCACCATAACCCCCAGATGCCTTTTTGCAGTCCTACAACGTAGCCAGTTATTGCCCATTTTGTAGTTGAGCATTTGATGTTTCCCCCTTCCTAAATGTGGTAATTTGCATTTGTCTTTATTGAATTTCATCTGGTTGTTTTCAGACCAGTTCTCTGATTTCCCTGTCTTCTAAAGCAGTGGTTTTCAAACATTTTTTCTGGCAACCCAGATTAAGAAAATTGTTGATGCCCACAACCCAACAGAGCTGGGGATGAGGGGTTTGGGGTGTGGGAGGGGGTCAGGGCTCTGGGCTGGGGTGCAGGCTTTGGTTTGGGGCAAGGGATGAGGGGTTTAGGGTGCAGAAAGGGGCTCCGGGTTTGGTGGGGAACTTAGGGCTGGGGCAGGGGATTGGGGTACGGGCTTACCTCAGGGCAGCTCCCAGTCAGTGATGCATCGGGGGTGCTAAGGCAGGCTTCCTGCCTGTCCTGGCACCACAGACTGCGCTGTGCCCTGGAAGCGGTCAGCAGCAGGTCTGCTGCCAGGCGGAGACGCACAAGCCGCTCCGCGCGGCTCTCGACCACAGGCATGGCCCCCTCCAGCTCCCATTGGCCAGGAACCGGCCAATGGGAGTGCAGAGCCAGTGCTCGGGGTGGGGGCAGCACGCAGAGCCCTATGGCTCCCCTGCCTAGGAGCTGAACCTGCTGCTGGCTGCTTCTGGGGCACAACATGGTGTCAGAACAGGTAGGGGCTAGCCTGCATTAGCCAGGCAGCACAGCGGTGCTGACCAGAGCTGCCGTGACCCAGTGCC